AAGTTCAGTTTCCTATGATGAATTGACGATATCAAATCTGTTTGTCTTTTCTTTTTTTTCCAAGTCTGCCTTGCTTTTGTTGATTTCTTCAACCACATGAGTGGCACTGCTGTCGCTCTTGCCTTAAAAGCTCGATGCCATGTGCACAGCCATTGTCTGTCTTTTTCCCACCTGTAGAAATCCATTCCCCAAAGAGCAACATGAACAAAACAAAACAAATAGGGGAAACTGAAACTCACCTATTTTTAGCATCCAGTCTTGACACGGTGCTGTGGTGACAAAGAAACACAAGTTCTTGACAGTTCCACTTTAACCTGATTGTGATACACCGATTATCTTTACTAAACATTACTGGATGATCTGTTGCAGTTAATAAGGCAAAAACCACAATGTAGATTATTCCTTTGAAGTGTGGAATGTTTTCTACTCTCCTCGCCATTGTGTGGCACTGTTGTGTAGTCATGACATGCAGCTTTTTCTCTGCCCTGATTGAAGACTAAAATGGTGGACAAACAGGGAAAGTTAAATGTTATAGGTATTGTATTGATGTTGTGGAACATATATTCTGACATGGCACAATTAATGTATAAGGAAATCGCATGTGGGTTCATTGCATTCTTAAGGCACATTCAGCATATAGTGTTTGAATTGTTTGAATATTTTGCAATCAGTTTGTCTCAACCATAATTTAGTCAGAATAATATATTATTCAATAATAAACACACTCTCACTAAGAGGCTTAAGCATTTCCCCATTTAATCCCTGCAAATCACAATTTTGTGAGGCAGAGGAATTCTAAGGCACATCTGGCAAATAAAATATGTATGGCCAAACAGGCCATGTGGCTTGTTTATGATTTCCAAGAGTCTTCCTAATTTTAAGCAGACAAACACTGTGGGACAGAGAGCACAGCCCCATGCAGCCTGTCTTACAGTGATACCGGTCTGTCTTCTTATTTGTCTGCTGACCTTTTGATATTTCACTCTGCACCCGGTGTGATTGTATTTGCATCTGTGTCTGTTTTTTGGGAATCATGCAGCATGCAGAGGAGGATAGGTTATCTCTGACTGTAATACGCTGTGATGAATCACTGCTCTTGCACAATGAAAAGAGGCTTAAGTGATTGATTTCTCATTTCCTTTATTCATCTGTGGTAGAATGTGAGCAGTTGCCCTGTGATGCAAACAATTAGCTTTTCAGCGACTCTTGGAACTCATTGTTTTTAGTTCAGTTAACTGACAGAAACAAACAGTTATAAGTTTTGAACTGTCACGCTCATTTCAGGCAGCTCAACGGAGTAGCAAATTCTCCTTTTCGTTGGGAGGAAGTCACGTCACTTCTTGTGATGGTTAACGTTTACAGGACTGAGTCTGACTTGGCAGCAAAGAGTTTCACATAACCTGCCCCTGCTCTATAGCTCTTGTATTTTTGCTGTTTCAGCCAACTTTGTGTTCTTACCAGTCTGAGCTGCTTCTATTAAGATAGATTAGTCAGAAAGATTGTCAGTTAACCGAACTGATCAACTCATTTGGCCAGATAATTAAGAAAAATTATTGTTTCAGTTAGCTGGGACAGGCACCAGCCCCCCGGCAACCCTATTGGGAATAAGCGGTCTAGAAAATGGATGAATGGAATATTGTTTCAGTGACATAAATTCCATTACACCATTATACATTTTTAATGTACTGTAGTCACGGGAAACAAGAATCTTATTACTTTAAGTTCTAAATTGAATAAATACACTTTAAACAGTTAAGCATTCAGCACAAATGTTTTCTCATTATCTTATCTGTCTTTGCTATCTATGCTTCCCTTTGAAAAAAAAAAAAATCTTCAAAGTCCCACATCTGTTTCCAGTGCATTTTGGATATTTTGAGTTAGTTCCTTTTAAAATTAAATATTCAATACTGGGAATCAAATAAGGTAGATGAAATAACATACAATATAAAAGGTGTGATGTGATGTGTAGACCAACGCATTGATTGTCATCTAGGCGTAATGTGTAAACCAGTATTCTACAAATAAATTCAGTCTTAATAGGCCAAAAACATATACTTTTTCGTTCTTTGCCATGAATTTTAGTACAATATCAATTGGCTTTAACTGTTTACGAATGACATCTATAGTTCTGATCATGTAATAGAGCCTATTTTTGAATAGGCAATTTATGAATATTGATGAATGTTTCTTTCTAGTTTTCCCAAGCTTCGGATGTTTCTCCCTTCCCACCATACATGTGAGCCTTACCTAAGGATGAGCACCCTTTTATTTTTTATTTTTTTTACATCAATTCAAATATGGTGCAACTACTTTCAAATGTACTTCTTCATCCACGTGAGAGAAATAATACACTTTCAGGGACCAAAGATAATGTAGACTCGGCTATGTTTTAGTGAAGGTATCTTTAAAAAGACTGCATGTGAAATCAACTGCAGAAGAATTCTGACTGAAGTCTGAAGCAAGCTGCACAGTAATAATAAATCAGTCTATTGGGGGAATATCATAGAATTGGACAGATATAAAAGAAATTTGACCAAGCTAAGAGGTGACCATATGCTTCCATTTTTAGAATATATACTTTCATATTTTTGTCCTTATAACATTGGCCAGTTTACTATATATCTTTTTAAGTATCATGAACTCATTATCTTAATTTCGGAAAAACTGTGCATCACAAGTAAAGTTTAGTGAGAAGCATGTTCAAACTAAGATATAAAAATAAATCGATTGTGTTTTATGGTGAGGAAGATAAAGGTCAACTTTTCCTGTCCTAAAAAAAGTCTTCTGTGACCATCCTTAGCACAGCTCAGGAATAGATATGGGAATTGTGGCCACATCTCACTTTTAGCTGCTCTCTGACCCTTTTCACCTCCACATTATTGATTTGCAGAAACGACCAGTAAAGCTCTCTCATTTGCATAATTGTCTCTTCTCATGACAAATCAGACATAGTGACCATCATTTTATGCTGGGTGTTTTCTGAATGTTTTCATTAATCATGTTTTTTGCTGCAGTTCGGTAATGGGCAGCTGATGGGCCAGACGACCCCCAAAACATTTCTGCATTTCATAGTCTATATATATTTGACTTTCTATTTTCATACTCTACAATGTTTTTGAAAGATTAATATTTCTTGTGTTCAATTATCTAATGACTGAACTTATGACTTAACGTATTTTGTGAAGGGCTTGCCTAACAGCAAGATGTGTCCCTGGTTTGAATCCTAGCTGGGGATTTACCTTATGGAGATGGAATGGTCTCCCCGGTGAATGTGGGACTTTTTTTTTTGCTACTGTGGCTTTGTATCACTGTCCAAACGCACGCTAAATAATTGGTGTCACTAGGTTGACCACAAGAGTGAGCGTAAGTGTGGATGGCTGTTGCAACCTGTCTTAGGTGTACCCCGCTTCTCACCTCTTGACAACCAAGATAGACTCCAGTCTTTCAGGTCACTTTTTTTCTTGTTATTCTTGGTGTAATCTGTGTTTGGACTGCTTTGAGGCTTGGGGATGTCATGCTGCAGTACGACATTTAGATGTTGTTGTTTTTTTCGTAAATTTAATACAATAATTCGATTGCCCTTTTTGTTTCTTACTGGTTGCTATGAATCAGTTACTGGAAGGCTTTTATTCACCATAATTTCAGCAGCTCATGTAGTTGCTCGTTCCACCAGTTTAACTGTGACATCAACGGAGCTCGATGGAGGAGGGAGGCCGTCACAGTTTGGCCCTGCTTATTGAGGTTCACTGTGGTTATCTGCTATTGTGAGGATGTACTGGAAATGGAAAAGAGCCCTGCATAGTGATGCTTACTACACCTATTATTATTTAGGCTTTCAAAGTCAAATGCATTGATGAACCTAACTGCAACATTCAATTACCAGCATTTGATTGTTTTAGCATTTGAAACAAAATTTGTAATATTTAACAGTTACGGAAATTTATTTTAAATTATAGAAGACAATAACATAATGAACATGACCAAAAATGCACGGCCAAATGAAGAGTGTGATCTGCAAGTATGGTGGGTAGCATGGGACAAAACTTCAAATCCATGTGAAATATCTTCATTAAAAACCGATGAAACCCATTCATGTAGGAATTATTCAGCAGACAAATAAAAATGACAGTGTACCATTAGTAGAAATGATCATATTTTGAATCTTTAGAAAAACCTGTGTGAATTGGAAGGTCCATGGTCATGTC